TACAAAGATCAGCACACGTACAGTACACACGAATTCGTTCGAGAATCGTCGCACATCTGAGGGTCTAACTCTACCTATCCTTTTTAAGCGCTCGTCTTTGCTCTTCCTTTTTTTTCCCCTCTATCGCTCTAGTCCACGTATGCCTATGACATACATCATAATACGCCTTCACGATACTTTCGATTCGTCACCTTTCCGTCGTAGATTTTCCATTTTACAATTACGTGACCGTAGCCTGGTGATAACGGAGAAAAGAGACAGGACGTCGGTATATGTCACAGTTACGATTTCACAGATTCGAAACAGCTCGGTAGCCCGAACGACCCCAGGCTTTCGCCCGTGCACGCTAAGTTACTTTCATTACAAGCATTTAGCTTTTCGAAGTCTATGACAACAATTATTTGGCATTCACGGCCGCGAATTTCGCGCAAATAAACTGTCTCGACTTGTTCGAAGCAGCTTATTGAGTTGATAACATAATCCGACTTGTTCGATTATGTTATCAACTCAATTTCATATTTATTTACACATTTTCACTTTGCAGTCCTTCTCTGTTCTTCTTCCGTTATTTGCACTTGTAGGTCATTTCATTGTTATCCACATTTGATATCATCATTTATCACACTGCCATGACGCTCTTGTCTGAACTGTCAAGAATTAACGCGATTGGCGAAGCGTAGTGACAGTGTGCTAATAGAGAGCGGGGTCCTTGCCATAATGCGGTTTGCGCGCCAATTTTTGTACGTGCGTTAATCGAGCCGAATAGTTTGGTTGAATATTCGGCTATTCGGCCATGCTCCTGGCCGAATATTCGGCATTCGGCCTGAGGCCGAATATACTATTCGTTGCAACACTAATTTTTACGCTTCTCGCAATGGGCATACCTTGTAAATGATTAAATTCCATCGTATTTAACACTAAGTTGGTTTGTCAAATGATGCAAACATATATCAACGTTAACCGATTTTTGAATTTATTTCTATAAAAAAAAGTAACGAGTTGCTTAACTTTTCCGGCGACATTTGCTGGCGCCATCTGTTACCATACTTTGTTATTAACGGTTTTATATTTTTAACTATTATAAAATGTCAAAAAGCTTAATTTTTGAGGGTAGAAATGGGTTTATATGAAACAGAAAGCAAACACAAGCATCACAGCAAACTTTTCTTAAAGTTCAAATTATTTCAAGATAAAAGAAAGAATTTCTCTGAAACTGTATATAAAATTAATCTTCAAAAGTGTTTGCGAGAGATGATAAGAAAGTTCTTAAATGAGGAAAGTCATTCATATAAACTAATTTTAATTACTTTTATGAAGTTTAAGTTATTCCTATTCTTTTATTTTATTATAAAATATGTTTTTGTAAATTTTCCTCCGATGGAGATAATTATGATTAATTCTTTTGAAGACAAAATCCATTTCAAGAAATATAGGAGCCACCATTTATTAACTTTGTGTTCCAGACATTACACTTTTGGCGACTGATCTTTCTTTTTAGGCTACTGGCCGCCAAACAGTCCTTTAAAAAACACAAAAATATCCAATGAAAAATATAAACATTTTTAAAAACAGGAACTGGTGATATTCGGACGTCTTCTCTTTTTTATCACAGCTTGGAGTTCGGCTTTTATCTACAACGGAATAAGCGCTGGTAAAATGCAGATGAGGAAAACTGGCCCCCGGTGACGATACTTTAAATTCTTTTTGTAAATTTTTTTAACACACACAAAGTTAATAAATGGTGGTTCCTATATTTTTTGGATAGGACTTTGTCTTCAAAAGAATTAATAAAATATGTTATTAAGCAATATAATTATTCACTTGAAGTTAAGACCATTTACCAAAATATTATATATTTTCGAGTCTTCTTTTCCTCCTTTACACAAACTCAAAAGTAACAGTTAAAACAACTTGAAGTAAAAACTTCATTAAAATGACAAATAACGTTATAAACAAGCTAAAAACATAATAGTTTAGTGTGAAAATGTAACCTTTGGGTTTAATGTGAAAAACGTCAGATTCTCTAATAAAAGGCTGACGTTTGATATCAATTTTAAATTTGTGTAAATTTTATTATCTATAATCGTTTGTCATTTTAAATTAGTGAAGTTTTTTCTTCAAGCCGTTTTAAATGTTACTTCTGTGTAATAGATCTTAAACACAGTAATTTTTTGCATAGCTTCAACTTTCAAGTTACTATACTTGAAATCTTCTTCCAACACAAAGCATTTCAGGTGATATATAACTTGACAAGAACCAAAGAAATGAATTAGTAGGATCTTTTCTTCTTTATTACCGCAGTAACTACAAATCATATCGCTCAGACAGGTCGTGATAACCACGCACCTGATGGTAGTTGCAAGCCTTAACAACCGAAAAACTCGATTTAAAAAATTATTCTTACATTTTACAAGTGATTGTTACCGATAACAAATATTATTGTGAAACAATGACGGGTATTTTTTGTAATAATTAATATAAACACTAAAATAGTGTGGTTGAGATTACGGGATGACCTCAATTTATTCGTTAAATTTAGTAAATATTTGTCCGACTTGTGAAATTCATTTATATATTCACTAGGTTATCGTATAAAATATAAAATTTTCCTACTTATTTCGGTAGAAAAATTAAATTTTGCATGGAAGTATTTCACGTAAAATGTTCATCTCACTTTCTAAATTCAATATTATGTCAGGATTTTCCTTTTACTAACAAAACTTCTGAGTTACGTAAGTCTACGTTTACGTCTTTTTATATCGCACAAAACTGCAAATTATTCTAATGCCATTTGCAGAAACTTGTAAATTTTTGAAATCTGAATTGATGCTGCAGCTTCTGATATCCGATCCGAATGCTTAAAAATGCCGACATAGTTATTTCCGAACTTTCAAACATTTTTAAAGTTCAGTAACTTCAAACTATCGCACTTGATCATACAGTCCAGACACGAAACCAAAGAGAACTTTCCAAATTTGAAGCACACTTACGACTATTTCTTTGCCACACATCAAGTGGCATTCGATGTTTGTTGTCAAAATTGTGGCTTCGAAACAAAAGACGTTCCTATTACTTTCTTTACAGAAGAATGGAGCTTCTGAGGTACATACTGAAGTGCCTCGTACTTGAACGCAAAACTCCCTCACCGCTACAATAGACGTTGAATCAACGATGAAGCTTTGTATCGATGCTTTCCACTCGTTCAGACCACTCGCCGTGTGATTTCTCTTCTGTTGAAGTATCTAAAGAATACGGTTTATTTGCCACCATTATCCACGTCTTTGGCAAACCTCCGGGACCTCATTACGTCTGCAATTACGATCATCCAGCCAATGCGTGAGGAGAATTAGAAATTGCGTAGACATGCGACTAGAAAAAGAACACACATAGATCAGCTTTATTCATGTAACACATACTTCGATTGCTTCTAAATCTCTTCAATGAAAATATATTTCGTATACGCTTCGGACGAAATTGTTTTCAGCGGGAATTCCTTTATTGTATAAAGTGAAGAAGGAAATAGAATAAGATAAAGAGTAATCATGAATTTGGCTAAATTTCCCAGTTATCAGAAAAAGCAGTTACACTATAATCAATAAAAGAAATACCGAAATGACGTGAATAAGTAAACGTGTAAATGTAATAACAGATAATAAATGTCGATGGACGTTTCGATTAGCAATAAATAATTACGCGTATTGTGTACTAATAATTATTTAATTGGGAATATGCGATATACACTCGAGATAAATTTATGTTAAAGAAACTACGTAACCTTAGCGAGTGACGTCGATGTGTTAACTTTTTCATTTTGAATGTCAGGTGGAGCCACAAGTGTTTTTTTAAATTTGTAACTGCCGACTTAACCGGCAATTTCGTTAAATTCGGAAAAGAAGATTCGGAATTTGTGCATTATAAAAACAAGAAAATTCAGTTTTTTTTTAATTAAGAAAGGAAGGAGATTTGTTGCAAGGAAGAGAAATGCCGACAACGGTAATGTTGAATTTATAAGGTGAGACGAACGTTTGAATTGGAATATTTCCGAGTAAATACTCGAACAGATTAAAGAATTAGGATATTTTAAAGATTTAATTTGATAAACTAGTGTAAATATAAATGGTTTGGTGAAATTAATGAATATTTTATTTTATTTACACAGGGACATAATATTCTTTATTCCCGTAGCACGTGGAAAAACTCGACTGGAAGGTTTTGAATCACTTTCGTCTGTCGTTAGACGTAAATTCTCTTTCCACTCAAACAAGGCGCATTATTTCTCTTTAATGTTAAGAGAAGGAAAATACTCGGAGGATGACATCACTTTATGGATCATTAATATATCTTGTTTATTTTTTAGATTTTCCAGTTCTCCCCTTAAGTATACCGAAAGGTCGTATGTATATTTAAAATTTATATGTCTAATAATATAAAAGTTTGTCAGATTTCTTTTAAGTAACAAATTAATAATAAAAATTAAAGTTTTATTATACAATGTTTGATATTTACGTTTTTTCTTGTAAGATGTACTTTGGAGGAGTCCAACGTTTCCCCCGAAGAATTAAGGATGAAATCTGAAAGTTTCGAAGAAAGAAGTGGACATTTACTACTGAGAAAATGGATTTAAAAATCGGAAAAACTTTCTTTGTGATACGAGGGCTGTTCGGAAAGTTCGCGGCCTTGCCTATATGCGGCGCTGCGATCAATTTAATTTTTGGCGGGAATAATTCAGCCATCTGTGCTAGAGATACGATACCAATTTCCGCTTGATTTGTCAAAAAGTTTTGCCACGACAGCTTAGCAGATAGTCAGTGTGCACATACTTTGTCAAAAATGGAGAAGACGGAGACTCATGCGGTCATAAAATACCTGACGAAAAAAGGGTTGACCCCATCTCAAATCAAAGCTGACATGGATGAAGTTTTGGGAGAGTCTGCTCCTTCGTACACCACTGTGAAAAAATGGACAGCCCTTTTTAAATCTGGCAGAGANGGAAGGTTTTGAATCACTTTTGTCTGTCGTTAGACGTAAATTCTCTTTCCACTCAAACAGGGCGCATTATTTCTCTTTAATGTTAAGAGAAGGAAAATACTCGGAGGATGACATCACTTTATGGATCATTAATATATCTTGTTTATTTTTTAGATTTTCCAGTTCTCCCCTTAAGTATACCGAAAGGTCGTATGTATATTTAAAATTTATATGTCTAATAATATAAAAGTTTGTCAGATTTCTTTTAAGTAACAAATTAATAATAAAAATTAAAGTTTTATTATACAATGTTTGATATTTACGTTTTTTCTTGTAAGATGTACTTTGGAGGAGTCCAACGTTTCCCCCGAAGAATTAAGGGTGAAATCTGAAAGTTTCGAAGAAAGAAGTGAACATTTACTACTGAGAAAATGGATTTAAAAATCGGAAAAACTTTCTTTGTGATAAATTGATCGAGAAAAATGTTTTTGTAAATAAAACTTGAACAATTTTTGTCGGGACCGAAAGAAACAAAGAAATTGTTATAAACGATTGTTTTCTGCATTTTACGATAGATTTGAAATTGGATTTATTTTAGATTAAATATAGATTTATTTTTAAGATATAGCCAATAAGTCGAATATGTTTTTCTGCATTTGTAATTCTATTTATTGATTTACGTTCGATGTCTAAATTCAGATTTAACATCGTTTGACTTTTCTATAGATTTTATGCACGAAAATCCAAAGAAATTTCTCTGTGAAGATTGTGGAAAAGCATTTCGTTTCAAGTCCGAATTAGAACGTCATCGCAGGATTCACACGGGAGAAAAGCCATTTTCTTGTCAGTTCTGCGCTCGAAGATTCGGTCATAAGTTGAATTTACGACGGCACGTTATGATTCATTCTGGAGAGAAACCTTTTACCTGCGACCATTGCAAACGGAGCTTTACACGACGCCATCATCTAGTAAATCATCTTCGCATTCATACAGGAGAAAAGCCATTTGCTTGTGATCACTGCAAACGGAAATTTTCAAGGAAAGATCATTTAATAAGTCATCTTCGCATTCACACAGGGCAAAAGACTTGAAACTTAAGCCGAATTTTCAAGACAATTTATTACAGGAAACACCTTTCGAATAAATATTCCTATAGCCCATTTTCGAATTTTAAATTTTTTAGAATTGTTCAAATATTCATTTTATTCAACGTTTTTTCAAAACGTGTACTTTTATTTAAATACTTGTTATATGTAATTTATGTAGTTATGACAATAAAGTGTTGTCGAATTGTAAGATTCAGTTTTCTTATTGCAATTAAGAAATAAAGAAATTTCGTTACAAGAAAGGAAAATTATGACATCTATCTTTGAATAACAAGTGACTGAAGTTATAATTTACCTTTTGAATCGTTGAATGCAAAGTCTGACTTATGTTTGACCTTCAACGTTATGACGTGGAAAATACTCGAAGGTTGACATCACGTTATTGTTTGTTTAGTAAAAGGAAAAACCTGTGTGTATGGGCACGCAACAAAAAACATTACAGTCATAAATATTAATTCCAACAAAATAAAATAATGTTCATAATACAGCGCATAGTAATAATCATGTTAAGTAACACATATTACTATTTTTTGTTTTACACGTATATATTACAAAGTATGAAAAAATGCAGAAAATAGTAATTAGCCAGATAGCATTTGTATTTATCGCGTAATGTATAGGTTATCTTAAGATTTAAATGCGATGAGACTAGAATTAAGGACGAAAGTACTCTTTTTTACGATTTTTTCAAAATAAATTTACAAATGAAATGAAGGAGAATTTCGATAAGAAAATTCTCACATCTTCAATGTTATTTTCGTAACGTTAATACAATTAGAAATCAAATGAAAGAATAAAAACTATTTTAAATGAAGATTAACGAGTGTCAAATTGTAAGGTTTGCCGACGTTGAGGGGGGAAAAAGTCTATCTCGCGTCAGAATGAAGGGAAACCGCGTATGTGGGCGGTGGCGAAGGAGGCAAATGATGCACAAGTGTTTTACAAAATAAAACCCGTTTATTTGTTCGAATTCATGCTTACATCGATATAGGATAATTCCAAAATTTCGGTGCTCCTGGGAACGGCGAAAGTTCGTGATCTCGGTTGCAGTTCGGGCGGACGAGAAGGATATCCGGACGAAGCAGAAGTTCGTTGTTTCGTTGCGGTGTCCTCGGTGAGCGGCGGATGCACAACACAATTTTTCACCACTGTAGGTTTAATCCGGAGGAGACTCTTCTTCGACCTTGAAGTTCCGATTTTTATAGTTTTTCCCCCACTGTTCGC